TTTTAAGCTGTTAAGTTTTGGCAATAGATAGTTAGTACACTGAACAAAGATGCTGGCATGACGCTCAAGGGAGATGTCAGGTCTGGTACAGAGATTTTGTGTGAAACTATGAGAGAGGGTGAGTTTTGAATGCTTTGTGCTTGAGGCCACAGCTTCCAATCCTATTTCTGGGACCATGTCCAGAATATCTCTATCTCAAAGGATATAAATGATTTTCAAAACAAAATTAAATAAAAATATTGTATTTGGAGGGGGGGTGGTCGGGAGCAGGGGTCACATACTCAGATAACAATTGTGGTCTCCCCATTTTCTGAACTCTAGACTTCACCTTCCATGCGGTTTCCCTCCATCTCTACCCTCTTGCAGTATTTTATGGTGTTCTATTCATTTGGCAATTTTCAGGTAAATACAACTTCCTTACATTCCACTCTTCCTCTTCTTTCTCCCCCTTCCCCCCCCTCGGACCCCACCTTTAGTGTTTCACAGGGAGACACAGTTAAAACAACTCCCGTGGAATCTGCTCAGGCATAGAGAGGAACAATGAACTGGGGGCAGCCTTGTTCCCTTATTCCTACTTGGCCCCCAGATCCCAGAGCGTATGGTTTTCCTGGAGAAGTGAGTGTGGGAAATAGATGAGGATGGAGAGGGCTGGAGGGTGATGGCGGATTCCTACTACCTCTACAAGTCTGGAGAAATACAGAGGCATCTTGGTGAGAAGCAGTCTCCCACTATCTGAACAGTGACTGGGACTTATCAGCCCAAATGAGGCTTAGGCAGCTTTTAGACACCGAGATTAGACAGAATCCTTCCACCCTCCAATTCAGTTAGAGCTTGGGGTAGGGATGGTTGGTTATGTGATGAGAGAGTGTCAGGATAATGTCTGTGACAAAGTCTCCCTCTTTCCCCTTAAACATATTTTTCCTTGAATAGCAGCCAAGACTGTAGTCCAGGACAGCTGGCACAGCTGGCTCCTTCTTGAGGGAATCACAGGGCTCCTGTGACCCACAGCAAAGCTTCGTCCAAAGGAAATCTCTTTTACTTAATAAAGGTAGCTGGGATTCCCTCCCACCAAATTCTTCACTGTCTCTAAAGTTGCACATGGCCATTTATACAGACACAGAGGGAAAATACAGTTTTCTGAATGTAGCACCCTTACCTCTCACAGCAAAATAGCTGGGCCCTTTAGGATGGAGATGCTTTAGACAAACCCTGTATCATATCTAATGTCTCCTAAGACTTCTCCTGCAAAGTGAGGGTAGAGAGGGCCTTTGGGCTTCACTCTCCTCTCTCCTACTGCCCTGTGAATATAACCAAACCGCTCTATCAATACAATTGCTTATTTTTAAATTTTTGCACAAAACCGATTTCTCCTGTGAAGTCTGTCATTATAGTCCATTACCGAAAGCTTTCTGAAATGGAAGTGTGAGGAGATATGTGCAAAGCAGAAAGAAATGGGAAAATGTTAAACAAATTACTTTTCACCTGTGAGATTCTCCTCCCTTCATCTTCAGCATTATTTGCCTAGTCTATTGACATTTCAGACTCGAGGAAGATTACTGGCATAAATGTACTGACAGTTTTTTGCTTTTTGTTTTTTAAATCTCTCCGAGGGTTCAAATGACAGAGGCTGTTAGCCTGAGAAACAAGACATTTGCATTATTGATCAGGCCACACTGTTTTGACGGAAACAGCAGAGAGTATTCTCGGCTGATTTGCATGTGACAAGTTGGTGTGCATCTTGTCCATCACTTCTGGGGAGAGAATGCTGCCGCCACATGTGTTAGACATCACGTCTCAGGTTGTCCTTTCAGGCTGTCAGTCATTGAACCTGCTGCTGCTGATTAAAAACCTTATCGCCACCAAGAAACTGTCTCCTGCCTGCGTTTGTGCCTGTGGCCATAGGAGAGTTGCTCTGTGCTCCGGGCTATCTTTATTGCAGATTCCCTGTAGCCAGGGGTCCCAGCTGTTTGTATGAAGTGGAGGCTCACAGAGCTGAACAAATGACTTCACCATTTTCAATTTAGTTGTGCTACAGGGGCAGCGGAAGATGAAAACACACCGTATTGTTCCTTAACGACACTGCTGGCTTACTAAACAATGCTGCACCATCACAGTTCGCCGGCTTTGGTATGTAAATTGCAAATACTTCCACTCAGCGGGCAGAGGTTTAGATCCAGTAGGTCCCAGATGGGACTCAGGAATCTGTCTTTTAAACAAACAGACCGATCAATTGGATTGAGACAAAACATGGGACAGACTACCAGAGATGGAGCTACATACACATTAAAGGATTGATTGAGTGGAGGTTAGGAAATCAGAGTTTTGTCTTAGTAGCCTCAGGACAAGACAAAGAGAATATTCAGGGGAAAAAAAAATCCCAATATTTTAAATTTATAGCACCAGATTGTTAGAAATTTAAGGATATGATTTATGTCTAATTTCTCTTTGGTGATACACTTAGGTTGGTACACTTGGTGGATAGGCACTAAATAAGTAAATCTAATGCTTAATGATCTTAACAGATTTAAAATACTTATCCTTTGTTGAACATTTTTATTAATATGAATCATAATAGAGAACCCCAAAGTAGACCCCCAAATATTTGGGAATTTAGTAGCATTTCATATTAGTTGAGGAAAAAAAAAGATTGATCAGTTCCTGCCTGGTATTTTAACATCTGGTTTGCCATTTAGCTTTAAAAAGAGGCTGAATTTCTACTTCACTTCTCAACCTCAAATAAATTACAGATGAATTAAAGATCTAAACTGAAAATAAATAAAGCTGTATCCACTCGAGAATAACATACAAGTACTTCTTTTTAGTGTCTTGGCATTGCATAAAACCAACAAGTCAAAAAGTTAAAGATAGACATATTTGACTACCTAAGAATTATTGTCTGGTGAAATTTCATAAAAGAGTCAAAACTCAAGCTGAAAATTAAAGATAAAATTAAAAACTTGAGAATGATTTTTGAGTAGGCAGTTACAGAAAAAAATCCATAAATGACCTATAGTTTATGAAATGATGTTCAACCTTGCTCAAAATTATATAAACATAAATGAAAATAAGACACTCTTATCATCTCTTCACAAAAAATAATGTGTTTCATGACATCAGCTTTAAGGAGAGGTGGAGAAAGGTACTTAAGCAATTACTATATAAGTTTAAAATACTCATATTCTTTGATCCAGCAATTCCACTAATAAAAGTGTACTCTAGAACTATAATTGTACATGAGAACAAGGATGAAAATTATAGCACTGTTTGTAATAGTTAAAAACCTGGAAATAATCCAAATAATCATTTAGAGGGTTGGTTAAGTAATTAATGATTCATAAAACTTTGTATTATTTAAAAAGTATGATTAGAGCTGTATATTTGGATATGGAGGAAAAAAACCCACCGAGATACACTATTAGATTTAAAAATAAGAGAGAAATGAGGGCACTAAGTGCTTATATTATGTTTCTATTTGCATACAGCAACATCCCTGAAAACCTGTTTATATACATAGAACATCTGAGGAAACATTAAGAAGTTGTTAAAAATGGATACATTTGGGAATGGGAGGGAGGACTCTGAGGTAAGAGGAAGACTTATTTTTCATTGTATATACTTCTGTATTGCTTGAAATTTTAAAATCATGTAATGGATCTTTTAAATTATGGAAGAAAAAGCCACTTGGAAAAGCTAGGATGTCACACACCTCAGCGGTTCTGATTACGGCATAGTGTTTGTGATCATTGTATTTTGCTATTAGAAAGACCAAGTTATGTTTTATAAAACAAATCAACTAAGCCTATGAAACATTTACAAAAGGGATTATTTCTTAAAAATTCAGCGTATTAAATGGCAAAACTTCATTAGTAAAAAATTCACGCATTTAGCATAGCCTGTAGGTACCCCACGGTGTCCTACTGCTGTGTGAAGAAGTTCCTGTCATTCCCTCTGTGCCATGACGTGCTTTCGGGACTTTGCCTGGTAAATGTGGCTATTTGCCTTGTCATCCCAGTGTCTTTAGCCAGTCTGCCTTGTGGGTAATGAGCACTCCAAATTCTAGCACCTGGGAGGTAACTCTAAATGAATGAGTGGACTGGATCTCTCACCAGCTCTAACAGTTTATGTTAAATAAGAGTTCCTTTTTGTGTTCCGGGGACCTTCTAAACTCCATCCTGGGGAGGAATTTGGTAGTTTGTGTCTAAGCCAGTTCCTACAGAAATGGCATTGAGCAGAGTAGATGAAGACAGAAAACTTTGTCAGGAGCTTAATCCTAAACGCAGGATAAAAGCAGCCACAGCGTAGCCTGAGGCACTTGGTAGATTTTAGAAAGACATTGTCCTGGGAACCTTGGGGCTAAATGTCCCATGGCTGGCAAGCTGTAACACATGTATTTTCGGTTTAGGAAGAAACTGAGCTTTACAACAGTGAAATGAGGTGGGGGGAAAGGCACAAATATTGAGAACCAGTCCTTTTCAGCATTGCCTCATACCTTCTCCATGCATTCTTATTAAATCCAGATGCATGTTTAATTTTAGAAGTCTTTAAATAGGTATGTGTTTTATTTGCCTGTTTTCTACTGGAATAATGTTGTAAGCCTAGAATGCTCTCTATTACCTGAAATTTACAGCTCTGTTTTAAGTAAACAGCAGGTACTTAGCTAATTAAATGTGATACTTGTAGGGCCTTGTTTATAGGAAAGTGTCAACTTTCAGGATGTTGTGTGTTAAGTCTTGATAAAATTATGGAACAAATAACAGGGTACTCTCATTTCATAGGCTGACCTTGCAGTCAACACCACCTGAAAATGGCTCAAAACAAAAAATGACCTAAGGGTTGAAACAAGATAAGATCAAATTGATGTCATGGTAATTACACAAAGTACCATTCAATCATTGGATGGAATTTACTGTTGTTCCCTGGACTTAGATGTGAGTGGGAACATGCTGCTTTTATTACTCTGCTGGTATAAAAGACAGGCGAGGACTTTATTAACTGCTGCAGTTACTGAGAAATCACAAGACGAAGCTAAAAATCCCTCTTCAGATCCACAATCAACTGCCCTGAATACATCCTGCAAAAAATCCAGAGGAAGGTAATATGAATGAAAAAATTGGGGGATTTTAACTGAGGAGTAAAATGTTTGTGAATACAAGGGAGCTGGTTGTGCATAAATCTTAGTAAGAAGAGAAGCAGGCATTTACACATTCTCCTTTCAGCACTCATGATTGAACTGGGAGGAAGTCTGCAAAATTGTGGTCTGTGATCACAGGCTAAGATTTTATCTAACAGAAGCTAGAAACCAACTCTCTCCTGCTGAGTTGTGTGAGTGCCTATCAGTATCTAAAAATTTTCTTCAAGAAATACTGGATGTCATTTGAAAGGCATTCTTTTGAGTGGCTGC